TTATTTTACTTTATTTTATTTTATTTTAATTTCTGGGATTACAGGCATGCATCACTATACACAAGTGGTTTATTTTAAATTAGTCAAGCATATTTCATTTTTTTTCAAATTTTGTGAGGTACAGTAGATCATAAATGGCCCTATAATATTATACTCATCCTAATACACTGCTGGTCTTCTTTAAATGTTGTTCATAGCAATAACAGTTATAACAAGCTGATACTTGCCCCAGTAGGTGAGGAAGAATCCTCCAGTTAGGTATGTCATTGCTTGATCATCCAAATATTCTGCTACTAATATTTATCCTTCTATATACAGTGTATGCCACTCCCCAGCTCTCTACCCAAACCAGAGACAGTGGCTCTAGAAGAAGGAAATGCTTGAGAGGACCAGCACCCTGAGAACACATGTTATCTGTCTAAATTAGGTTCTTATTCAACTGTCTTGCAGTGAGAGCTTATAAGAAGATTGTAGAATTGAGACACTCCCTGGAAATTGCTGAGAGCAACTACAAACATTTGGGTGGGATAACAGAAGAGGATCTAAAGCAGAAGAAAGAACAACTTGAGTCTGAAAAGTAATATCCATAACATTTTAATGATTTGTATTGTTATTTCTCTAAATGCTGTGTCAAAATTTTTTGATCAGCAACTTGTTCTTTCATCTCATGAAGCATATTAGGTTCCATCTAAGCCCCTAGATAGAGGAGTTAAGATTCCTTTTTTTTAAAAATTGTGGTAAAATACATATAACATAATTTTATCTTCTTAACCGTGTTAAATGTATAGTTCAGTAGCTTTAAATACATTCACATAGTTGTGCAACCAACTTCGAACTCTCTTCATCTTACAAAACTGATACCTTTTAAGGAAGTAAGACTTTTTTTTGAGACCACAGCTACTTTGAGCTTTTGTCGTGCACAGGTGACAGTGTTTTAACATCCCCATCAGACTGAACTGCCCGCTTGAGAATCTGAGAGCCACTCCTGGTCCACTGACTATAGCACCCATGAGAGAATGCTCTTGTGTCTGGGGGCTGTGAGCAGTTGTGTACCTGTCCTCACCATTCACTTCCTGTACCCTCAGTTGGCTTCTTGGATATTGGGTACCTCTCTGATTAATTAATGGCTGCTACTGTCTCTGTACCTTCTGTCTGCTTTCTAGAGTGAACAGGAAGCAAAGAATGTCAGGAAAGAAGACTTCTAGTTTAGTCAGATATAGATCCGTAAAGAGAATGACATAAACCGGGGATTTAGCTCAGTGGTGGCACCGCCTGCTTTGCCAGCACACTTATGTGTTAAGTACATCGTAAGACATTTATTCTTTGGATACAAACTCTTGATCCTAGATATATGTAAAGGAAAAGTAGATACATATTGACTTGAGGATATTCTTTTTTTTTTATTATTATCCATTAGTTAGATCAAACCCATAATACAACAAAACATAATTGTATTATTCTGTCCTGGGGATGATTTTTCCCTTCCTATCTGTTGAATTTCTAGGCTTTCACAGTTGACATTCCTCTTCCCTATCCCCAATCTTAACCCCACTCGTGTTTGTATCAGAAATACTACTGTATACTCTTAGACTGCCCTCCTTAGCACCTAACCCCCAACCCAGCATGCTTTTGGAATTCTGTGCCCCTCATCTTCCAGGTATAGGCACATAAAATCCCTGGCTCAAGTCACAGAACTTTTTGTCTAGGTTTGTGTTTGTGTGTGTGTGTGTGTGTGTGTGTGTGTGTGTGTGTGTGTGTGTGAGAGAGAGAGAGGGAGAGGGAGAGGGAGAGAGAGAGAGAGAGAGAGAGAGATACTGGAGATTGAGCCTAAGGCCTTCACATTGAGCTACATCCCCCTTCTCAGTAAAGCCTTCCCCAGCTCCTGTATAGGAAGTGTTAATCTCATCTGTAACATTTTATATTCTTCCTTGCTTTATTTTTTTTCCCCTTAGGATTTGCAACCTTCCAACACTATGTTATATTTTATTTATGTATTTCTTTACTGTTGGCCTTCCTTTATTCCTAAAGTAAAGTGGCCATATTTTGGCCTTTTGTTCACTACCTATCCTTAGTGCCTAGATAAATGCTGGTTCATAGTAGACCCTTAAGATATCGTTAAATGGTTTCTTCATTTTATTTGCCTTAAATACAACACATGGATACAGTACTTTCCACTATTACCAAAAATAATTGTTAGTTGACGTTGGAGATTGATTGCAAAAATTTTTTTGACAGGATCATCAAAGAGCTACAAGGCCAGCTAGAATATGAACGACTACGTAGAGAAAAATTAGAATGTCAACTAGATGAGTATCGAGCAGAAGTGGATGACCTCAGAGAAACAATAAAGAAAATTCAGGTCCCTAACTTAGTGGCTACGGTTGGTATCCTTAATACAATTATTTTTCTCAGCAAATGGTATACAAGAGTATAAGCTTTGTATTAGAGGTATTTCTGTTTGAATCCTGCCTATAGCATATTTTGAGCTGGGAAAACCATTTAACCTCTGTGCTTCATTTGTAAGGTGGAGACAATTTATACTTTCTTGAGCCAATGCCATGATTAAGGAATATATCTATGTCTATCCCTGTAACTTTCTCTCTCCCTGCCCATTTCCCACACCTAAATGATAGGACTGAATAATAGCTTGGTTTATAAGAGTGCAGTAAACATTACTGTCATTATTGTACCATATAAGGGAAATACTGAGTTGGAAAACGCAGGACCTCGCACACGGTAGGCAAGGGGTCTACCACTGAGCTACACCCCCGGCCCCAAAAAGAAAACATTTTTTATTAGCAGAGTAATCAATAAAAATTCTGAGACAGCTAGAGGGTATGAATATTTTAATATTCTAAAGAACCAAAATAAAATTATTTGAATGGAATCCATTTAAAAAAGCTTTAGCTCCTCCAAAGAGCAGTTTTAAGAGTAGAAAGGAGCCAGTGTAGAAGTTGACATAACATTCCTTTTCTCAGATCATGGAGTAATAGAAACTTTTGTATAACACTCTATCTCCACAAAGTGCTTTCTCATGTTATCTTTCTGTGCACCATTTTATCTACTCTCATTTACCATATGAAGCAGCCGAGGCTCCAAGGGGTTAAGTCACTTGTCTGAATTCACACAGCTAGAATATTGGAATCAGTATTCAGTCTCTAGCCTTTTGACTTTGTAGTCTTGGCTCTTTTTATAACAGGCTTTATGAATTTGGAATTCAGAATATTGCTTTAGAAAAATACTTAGATAAATTAAAAGGATAGATATGTAGAAAGAACCTAAAAAATTGATAATGAGAAGCAGATACAAAGAGCAAGTACAGAAAACAGCAGAAGTGACAGCAAGAAACCCCAAGTGGTGACTGTATTTCAGGCAATCTAGTGTCAGAGTAGATAGGCAGAAAGTGTCCTGGGGGGAAGCTTGGACCTTTGTTCTTCTCTGCAAGTGAAGATGGCCATGATGTATTTGGCCCCATGGACAACTTGTGATGCGGTGTGGAGATTCAGATACGCTTCATATTTTCTTTCCAGAGAAGTTTTTCTTAAGTTACTATGGATGAATTGTGTCCTAGACCTGTATCACTTCATTGGATCATAACAACTTCCTGGTTTCTTTTTACTTTGCAAAAACTAAATACTGGTCTTGTAATAACTACTTTAGAAATACATTTGCATTTCAGTTAGCAGTATGTTGTGAAATATTAGTCTAAGATAGAACTAGAAATACTAAGGTGTTTGGGGAATGTGTTAGGTAGAGGTAGGACTGGATGATTTCTCAAAGTGCCTCCTGTCTGATGATTCAGCCTATTATAAAGCTTTTGACACTTCAGATTGGGGGATTTATACAAAATCCTAAGATAAATTTAATCAAAGCTGAAAATACTTGGTGTAGTTGTTTTCTTTTGAACAGACAATGCAGAAATATGAAAATGTGTGTTTAGCATGAAAGTTTTATTTGACCCTCTTTTTCTTTGTTCATAGGAAGATGACTCAGGTGAGTCCAGCAAAGAGAAGAGGCAAGTAAAGAAAAAGCTGTCTTCTGGGGGGGTGTTTATAAGAAGGTTCTAATCAGTGAAATAACCTTAAATAAACTTGTTTGATTTTTCTTTCATTTTCAAAATTAAATATACGATCACCGGTACCAAAAAAAATTAAATATTTAAATGTGCTTGCTAAGCATGCCCATTTAAATGGTCAGCTTCAGAATTTAACCTTTCTTCTGTCTTTATAAGAGAGGAATATAGATAAGAGGCAGACTGAGCAGAATAAGAAACACATAGTTTTATTATTTTTTTACCCCTGAAACATTAGTTGTTCTTTGCTGGTCAAAAACAGCTTACATTGGGCCAGGGATTTAGCTCAGTGGTTTTGCCGTCTGCTGTGCAAGTGCAAGAACCTGAGTTCGATCCCCAGTACCAAAAAACAAAAACAAAAACAAACAAACAAAAAAACAGCTTACATTTCAATTCAGTGCTGACTTACAGTAGTTCCTGTGTTTTTCTTACCTTCTCTCCCTTCCCGTCCTGAGCTAGCAAAGATTTGTGATTATCTTGGAGCAGTTGTCTAGATCCGATCTCCTGAAAATCTGACTGCTAGCTTTGGGCTTCCCTGGCAGCAGCCTTCTTACCGCACAGACTGCCCACCCCCTGGATCCTCACGTATCCTTCTCATGGATGCTAAAGGCTATTTTAAGTCTACTATCATCAGGACTAGTTTGACCTGATGAGAGTGCATTTGATTGCTGAGACCAGTTTAGGCTAGTCAGCAGTTTATAAGCAAGTGTTAAAAAATGGCTTAGCAGCTGGGGTGGTGGCACTCACCTGTAATCCCAGCACTCTGGAGGCTGAGGCAGGAGGATCACCATGAGTTCAAGGCCAATGTGGGCTACATAGTGAGTTCAGGGCCAGCCTAAACTACAAAGGGGGACCCTGCCTCAAAAAACAACAAACAAAAAAATGGCTTAGCTATCTTTTTGATAACCCTTTATGTTCGCTATTATTAGTTTCTCTGAAGTTTCCAAAAGTATCAATCTACAGTAATGATAATATTTATTGGGTACTTAACTTTGTGTGAGCTCTGTGTCACATCCTTTAGTATTTCTTAATTCTCTCAACAACCTACCTAAAAAGGTAGGTATATTTTATAGGCCAACATTGGGTAGAGTGCCTAGGATCACACAATGATGTGGAGCTGGCGATGAAAGTTGTCTTCATCCTTGTAACTACTGGTAGAATTCCAAATGTACCTTCTAGGACTGAACACAACCTTACTTTTCCCCTCTAACTTAAGACTTAAAGTTATTTCAACCCTGGAATCTACACTTGTCCTGCTTTTCTCCAGCCCCTCCCCCATCTCTCTCTCCCTGTCGTCTCTATCTCTCTGTACCAGTAAGGTAGGAAATACTAGAAGTATGTTGTAATAAAAGCACGCACCCTGTGGCAGAGGTTCCCTGGTTATCCTTCTACATCTGTTTTTCCTTGTATAGTTATGGGATTCACCTGGACTTGTGGTTGCTCATGATAAAGACTAACTTCCCAGCTTCCCTTGTAGCTAAGAAACTAAGTTGTGACCAATAGGATGTGAGCAGAAATAGTGTTACACCTTAGGGTCATGCCCTCTAAAGGAAAAGGGCTTTCCCACCACCTGCCCCTTTCTTCATCTTTAATGTGGGTGTGGTGAGTCACTGGGCCTTGTCAATGAGGGCAATACCAGAGACAGGAAAGCTGTAGAATAAGAAGTCAGGACCTTGACACTGTGGAGCTACAGTGTTAGTGCTTCGAATGCTTACACTAGGTTATAAGAGAGAAGTAAGCCTACATCTTATTCAAGTCACTATTATTCTGGGTCTTGTTATATTGGCTAAATTAAAATTGTAATGAAATCTTCAAATTATATATATTTTAAAACCACTTATAATTATATTAGATTAATCAAAAATAAAAGTGAAAAAAGTGTTTAAGTGAGATATACATTATTCTGTTCTTATGACTCAGTAGGTTGTTTATCCTTTGAGAAATAGTATTCAAGTTAGAGACCACTAATTTACTGAGTAAGTGTGAGATTTGGAGTTAAAAGACTGGTCACTGGGCATGCTGGTACACACCTGTAATCCCAGCACTCAGGAAGGTGAGGCAGGAGGATTGTCACAAGTTCGAGGCTAGCCTGGGCTACATAATGAGTTCAAGATCAGCCTGAATTACAGAGTGAGACCTTGTCTCAAAAAACAAAACAAATAAGCAAAAACAAAACAAAAAACTGGGGTCTATTTGACTTACTTGTTGGGTGACCTTGAGTAACTTCACTAACTTTATTTCTTCAGCTTGAGGAACTTCACTAAGCTTGTTTCTTCAGCTGTAAAATGAGGATAATGCTACCTACCTAAGAGAATAGCTATGAAAAAGAGGTGGTTGATACATTTATTTGTTGTAACATAATGGTAGCTATTGTTTCTCAAAGTGATAATCAGTAGTTTCTTTGAGGGTGACCACAGCCTATGCTGCTTCATGGTTTTCCTTTATATTAATTTTTTAAATTAAAAAAAATTTTTTTGTGGTACTGGAGATTGAATCCAGGGCCTTTGCTCTGCCTTAGCCCCTTCTGATTTTTCTGTTTTGAGACGGGGCTAAGTTACTCAGGCTGGGTTGAAATTTGCAATCTTCCTGCTTCAGCCTCCCAGAGCGTTGGGACTATAGGTGTGTACCACTATGCCTAGCTTCTTGAAAAAATGAATTTAAAATTGTACATATCTAAATTCTTAAAAGTTTTGACACAATAAACATTGTGACATAAATTGAAATAAATGAACATTTATTTAAACAAATACAGTGAAGAGTTTTTACTGATTCATGCCGAGTTCTTATGTACTCTTGGCTGGTCTTTTGCCACCATAGTAATATGAATGAGCACATTAGGATCTATTCTATAGCCAACGTTAGGACCTATTCTGTGGCCATAAACAAGGTGAAGGTAGTTACCTTGAGGAGGCATATCATTATTCAAAAAATGCCCAAAAGTTGTAGTATTTTCAGGAACTCAGTATAAATAAAACATTCTTAACATGCCCATTATCAAATATTCAAAATATTAAAAAGTTTGGATTAAGGCCAGCTAAGACATAGATATGAATGACATGATATTTATGTGATAGACTATTCCACAGGCTTTTAACAAGTACCTCATAATGTACAGGGCAAGGAGAAGACATATACAACAATATCTGTTTTATAGTTGGGTATAGTTTTTTTTTTTTTGTACTGGGGATCGAACTTGGGACCTTGTGCCTGTGAGGCAGGCAGTGGAACCACTGAGCTAAATCCCCGGCCCTAGTTGGGTATAGTTTTGAGGCACATGGGAATTCAATCTACTCATCCTTCATTTTAGGTATTTCTATTTTCTAAAGAAAAATTGATTTGCACTCCAAAACTACCATCACAATGAACTCAGTCTCAATGGAAGGAGTACAGGATCTAGATAGAGGTAATGGGGATAGGGTATGGTGTATACCATACTTCTTTTTATTGGATGCAAATACTTCATTTGCTAAATCCCTACGAGGAGAATGAAATGGATTTATTTAATCTTTAGTAGCTACTTATAAACTGAGAATGTGCATCTTTGTTGGTTTTTGAGGAGGTCCAAGAGATCACAGCTCTAAACTCCAGAAGTAAACTCAGGAATTATTTACCCTGTCTCTAATATCACTCTACTGGGGCAGACCTCACTCAGCAGACACGGAGCCTGGTCCTATGGGAGAACAGAGTGGACATTCTCTGCAGACAGGCTGGTTCCAAACTGTAGTGAGAAGTGGGCTACTTGAGCCTTATTTCACCTTCTCAAATTTATGACTGGCTAAATCAGTTTACTTCACCTAGTCTCAGTGGATATTTGTATCTTTAAAAATAATTTTTTAAAAAGTAGGATTATTTTGACTATCAAACTCTTCAATCTACTACCAAGATATTATGAAATCTTAAATGTTTAGTACTTTCTGGCTTTTTTTTTTTTTGGTACCAGGCATGGAATTCAGGACCTTGCACTTGCAAGGCCGGTGTGGCACCACTAAGCTAAATCCCTGGCCCTGGCTTTGCTTTTTAAAACTGGATTAGAATTGAAAGAACTAAGATAAAATGATATTTTGTAATTTCTTTGGTAATTACGTATATATTGCTGACACTACTATGTAACAACAAAATAAAAATCTGAATGTCCTTATGATTTCCTTGAGTGTAGGTATTTGCTGAATTTAAATGAATCAAGAAAAGCTTCATTTTATGCAATAAATTTAAGATGGTTTAAGAAGCAGGGAAAGCACAAGCCTGTAACCCCAGCACTCAGGAGGCTGAGGCAACAGGATTGCCCCGAGTTCAAGGCTAGCCTGGGCTACATAATTTTATTAAAAAATTTAAAAATACATGCAATAATCAGAGCAGATCTATAGATTTCATACTAGGTGTTATGTACTTGTACTGGAGCGTGCCTTATTTTAAAATATATTGTTTTAGTTCTTTACAAAATAAAAGAAGATAATCTCCAACTTATATAGTAAACCACTTTCAAAATCTAAATAACTTTGTTGTAATAATCTTTTCTTGCACAGGGAAAGAATGCTAGACTTTAATGGAAAAAGTGATGTGCTGATTAGTGCTCTAAATTATATATTTCCGTATTTCTCAGAGGTAAATCTAAGACATAGACTCAACATTTTTACCATTCATCTGCTTTTTTCAAATGTGCAAGATGTAGATAATCCACTGGATTATTTGAAAAACAGTGCTGTGTAAGAAGCCCTCCCCTAACCTGAATCCAGCAATTTGACTTACAGAAATAAATTCAAGAAGCTATATTTTCTGCAAAATTTGTTAGATACAGAAATTCAGGAAAAAATTGACTGTCATGTTTATGTAGTTTAGCCTTTTAGTCCCAAATTTCAATGCCAGTCTTTGCAAAGAAATTGAAAAGCGTTCAAGCACAGGAAAACTGCCTGTTAGAAGATCA